TACTGACTTTACTGGAACCCAGAAACGCAACCACTCAACAATTGGAGAGAAGAGAAGCTAGCCAGCAGGTCGAGCAAGCGCGTGAACCCCTTCCAATCTAGGCCAACGCCAAGTGATTGAAGCCCAGATGAGCTATGGTCTAAAGTGCTTGAAGGGGGGTTCTATACGGGATAGTATAGGGGACTATTATAGGGGATTTTAAGGGGATACTTGGAGTTTATAACACAGATGATGAGTAGATGGTTGTGTGCAACTATCAACTCCTTCTGTCGCGATGGCCTTAAACCCTTGTCAGTCTTCCCTCTGCCTGTCACTGTAAGCCGACACTTGCCGCCGCAAGTAGCCCCTACTGTTGATACGAACAATCCTGCCTGACCCTAGTACACTATATTACAGTAATTGCCAAGGTTTAGGGTGCTTAAGGTCATGCAGGATGTTTAGTATCCACCGTAGTTTGGGGGGGGTGGGTGTTTGGTGGGGGCACATATTCAGAACAATCCTGATTTCCAAATCGACAACGGATTTGCGATTTGTTTAGCTTCTAGGGTCTAGGGGTATTAAGCTCAGGGTTCGGAACGTCATTGGCGAACTATCAATACACTCCTCCGAATGCACCAAACCTGAGCTACAAAACGAAGCAAGTAGAAGCTGGGCCAGCCTGATTACTTCAAGTAAGGTTGTGGGGTGCATTACACATCTGCTATCTGCTAGTGAACTTCGAACCCCAACCCACCGCGAAAACAGTCTAAACAGGAATTGTAAACAGGCCTTACGTCTCAGGCTAAAACCTGGCGACAAAAAACTAAACGGCTCAGAATTGTCAAACAAACGACATGATTATACAAGCCGGGAACCCCTTTATCAAAAACTCACTCTGCCCCCACGAAACAGAGATCTTATTAAAGACCGAAGAGACTTCCCAAGGAACCCTTTTAAAATCTGGGGGCGGGGTGGAGTGGGGTGGGGGTTGAGAATTTACTGATGAACTATGAGGCTCTCAAACGAGAATCTCTAAGTGAGAATATCTCTAACACAGGCTTGTGGGGTCAATCTTAGACAAAACCCCAAGCATCTTGCCCTTGTCATGGACTGGAGATAGCCTTGTCATTGTCATCGGTTGAGACTTCGAAAAGGTTCAAACATCCTTCACCGCCGGATTAGAGCTGCATGAGAGATCAGGCTGACACAATTTCCCAAATACCATGACATCCCTGATGTGACTCCTCACCCTTTCAGCAGTACAACCAGTAGTGGCAGCGGCGGCGGTGGTGATGGTGCTGGTAGTAGGTGTAGTAGCTGGAGCAATTGAAATAGTAATAATGATAGTAGTCAAGCAGGAATAGTAGTGGTAGTGGTATTGGTAATGATAGTGGTAGGGGTAATGGTGGTAGTAGTAGTCGTCGTCGT